GTGAAGCTTGGTGGTTTCAGCGTAATGGTTTGGGGAGCTGTTTGGGTTGGTATGAGATCGAGCTTAGTGGAGTGCGTTGGCAACATAAATTTTTGCGAAATACGTCGAAATATTGGAGGAAGGACTCTTGCCACTATTCCTCGGTTTCGTGTAGAAGAACACAACGTTGTTCCAGGAAGATGGAGCACCGTGTCACACTGCTAGAAACACCCAAAAATGGCAGGAAGAAAATGGTATCCAGAAGATGCCCTGGCCGAGCCAATCTCCTGAACCCCATCGAAAACCTCTGGGCCATACTCGACCGGCAAGTCAAGAAACAATAAAAAAAAGCCAACTTTGAAGAGCGATCTACTCCAAGTTTTGAAGCAAGAGTGGGCAAAAAATCCCACAATCTAAAATAGACAAGAAGATTCTCACGATGCCCCAAAGGATCAACGAACTCCACGAAGCGAAAGGAAGATCTACTAGATATTATATCAATTCATGTGAATATGACTGAAAAATTTCATTTTTTCTGAAAAAGTGGTGTCTGTTTCATTTGTGACCATGCTGTGTACATATTTCTCATTCACACACAAAGCAACAAATGTATTTAAATTAATGCAACATTACTATTATAGTTTTTTTTTTTTTTATTTAAAGTGGGACTTCTGAAGAAGTTGACTGCATCTCTAAGACAAACATATCACTTAATAAAACTACAATAATGTATTCTATGTACACATATATCCATATTTAGTTCCGGCAGCATTAATACAAACATTTTTTTTTATCAGTTCAAATGCTGCACTGAAAAATTCTAATGATCAAAAATTATAAAATTCATCAACAAATATATAGATCTTAGATGAATGCAGTACATCCCATTCCAGAAAAACTGAGCTGCTAATAGCACTGTATCAATTGTGCTGATTGTTCAGTATAAGAACAATCATAAACATTATCTTCTACTTTTTGTGTGTGTTTTGTGGGATAAAACAAGTAGATTTTAAAAAGGACAAGTAGATAATTCTAGCATTTTATCTCTTGAACAAGAATTTGTTTCAAACATTCCACGTCCCCAGTTAAAAACATTGCTTCCAATCAATGAAACTTATTTATTATCACTGTTAATATATTTACTATTTATTATATCTATTAATATATTTCATGTCAACTCACCAACCTATTAGGCCAAGAGCTGGGTAGCATTTAAACAATAATATTTCAGATAATTATCATCTTTCTGCCTGAATTACAAGTTGTCTTAAATGGTCAAACTGTTAACAAAGGGATTAATATACCTACTGACTAGTTGATGTAAAAGCACAGCCCTAATTTTTGTTTCAAAAACAATGCCAAAATACCTAAAATTAGTCACAAGTGATAGACTCAACCTCTGTTTGTATGTGCTTATTTTATCACTTAAATAAAATGGCAGTTTCTGAGATATTATCTTGTCAACATTGGCTCATCAGTTTATCAGAAAATGATTGAAAGTTACTGAATGTAATATCATTTTGAACATCTGTTAATCCTCTTTCAAAGTCATGAATTAAAGTCATACATGCTCAATGATACTGCTGAAATACGGGGTAGAAAGGTATGGATGAATTTTATAAAAATAATGTTTACAATAACAATCTGCAAGTTGATTCATAAGTTACTAAATTTTTTGAAGAAATTTATGGATTTTTTTATGAAACAAAATCTTAGTTTTAAAAAGATATTTTTCCCCCTAACAAATGATCTAATTTGTGAACAAAAAAAATTAAAAATTATGAACCATTTTGTGTTCTGTGATAAATTTTATCATAGCACAGAAATGAAAGCTGCCACTATACTATTAATACATAACGTTCATTTCTAAAGAACTCTTATGGTACATCTTGAACTTTGAATTTGATAATTAGAAACTTTGGAAATTAAAATAAAAAACATGTAAATTTTTAGTGTTTAAAATTGTACAAACATATGAAACAGTTTGGATCATTTAACTTTTAAAGTAAGAAGTATAATTATTTTCCTTTTATTTTTAACTACATTGATAATGATAATTGATATGTTACACCAACCTACCTTATATTATTACTAGAAGTAGTAAAGTATACATATTTCCTTATTGATATGAAAAATTACCTTCTTTTCTCATTAAATTTAACCTTAATTAAAATCATCCATAATCTGCCAATTATTCATGCTTAGGGTTTCAGAAATATTATTAGCACTACTGAGTACTAGTAGTAGTGAGTAGTACTGCACTACAATTTGCAAACTGAGTACAGTCTGAAGTGCTGCTACTGTATTGCGAAATATGACGTAAGTGGGCTTTGTCTAATGGATAAGGCAAAAACCGAAATATTCTTACAACACTATTATTAACATTAGAGTACCAGTATTGAAGTAGCGATACTGTAATCTCAGTCTCATCTTACTTCTCAGAATCTCTGCGAGTGTGAGTCACAGTATGACTGTGAGTCGGAATAATGACAATTAAGATTAGTTACAACATACACTAATAAAATAATTTCCAATCTATAGCAACAAACTCAAATTCTTTCTTATACAATGCAGAGTTACCTACTACCATATGTCCTTATTTATAAGTTCTTTTGTATTAATCCTGACATAAAAATAACAATACTTTATAACTTACTTCTATTTCGTTTAGGACTACCGTCAGCTCAAACGATGCTAGTGGAACCTATCGAGCGTAACAAATATCACTTAAACGTAAAATAGAAAAAATAAATAGTACATGATATCTTGTTTTCAAATTATTCAACACAAACTCTGGTATCTGCGAAACACTTATAGATAAGTAAAAGCGATTCTTAACTTTTAAAAAATATGATTTTATTCTTAATTTGCATAAATTAAAACACCACATAATGTAAATAAAATAGTATACTGACACAATACTGTGTACTTAACGTTCGTACAATGAAACAAAAACATACAAACTTTAGAACAAAAGTATCTTCTCTCAATGTTCAGTGTAGTGCATACTATGCTTCAGAATTTACATAAATTTTCTAATAAGGTTTCGCATAAAAACTTGATTAAAAACAGGTGGAATAATAAAAATTGGGTAGAAGCCGGTGCGGTATATGAATATACACGTGTAGAATCTCCTTATAGTATTATAATAATTATTCTAAATATGTGCAGGTTTCATATAACACGTGGCAAGAACACCATTAACTTCACCGTCTTCCAAGTTACCTTTGTTTTTGTGTTGTTGATTTTTTTCTTTTGCTATTTGCGAAGTAGGTAATACCTCTTACCACCCGTGAAGAACTTTGTTTAATTAATGCCATATTGTGTAAAGACGTCGACAGTAATTCCTTCAATGGCTGTTCATTTCATATCTAAATGTTCGGGCCCCATCTATGTGTAATAAGAATGACCAGTCACATAGTAACGTACGTCTCATTGGGTAAATGCGAGGTTTCTTGGAATCTAAGAAACCTTAGATATGTCAGTCTGGAACACGATTTGGAAGAAGTAGCTTCATTTAAAGAAAGAGTCGTATAAAAGCGACAGACTGTTGTTCCATAAAAGAAGTACCCTCGCTATGTTTGTGTTTTACATTTATGGTAATAAATACTGAACAATTCGTATTTCAGTTTGTTCCCAGTCTAGTTATTCCAACTAACATTATGACTCAGTTAAGTAATACTTTTAGTATTACTCCGTAATCAGTATCTTAAGCGAATCTCCTGTTATTCAGCGGACCTATCTGGTGAAGTTCAAATTATATTCATATCATCTGAATATATTACAAAGATAATGGTTTAGAAAATATAAAATTTCTGATTGGAAGATGGTTTCATTTCAAGTTGCGACTTATCAAGGTATAGTTTATTAAACTTTCAAGAAGGTTCTGGTCATTAAGTCAAGTCCTAGTTTTGAGACTCGTTGAAATTTGCTATGTTAAAAACTTAGCAGTAATTGTACAGCAAGCGATACAGATTTACCGATAATACTGTTTAAGGCTAATACTTAGTGAGTTGTAAGGTAATAAAATATGTGGTTCAAAAACGAAAAGTGTAAAGTTGTAATGAATGTAATAATGGGTTCACAACAACCACTTAAGTCAACAGATGGAAATATCGAGATACAAAAGTAGATTGTAAATATGAGAAGCAGTGAAGCAGTGAGTGAGTTGTACTTTGTGTCTTGCTTTAAGCTAGCATTGAATCAACCCATTTTGTTTGTCAACAGACCCATCTAGAATTGAATCTGTTCAGAACTGGCCAATACTTATGTGTGCTAAGAGTATTTCTTTGACTGTGGTCTTACTTTCGTTGTTTTGTAAAATAGTTCTATGGTATATTTCATACTCTCCAGAAATTACTTGAAAAACTACATAAGTTTTGTTGGCCTGCTGATTTTAAACATGCATTCAACAAATTGAACATTAACTAATACTCCTGTATTAGTATACCCAACTTTTGAATATTCACTCATATTACATAGAGATGCCAGTGATTTTGCTGTGGGAGAATTTTGATGGAAATAATTAGAGTCCAGTAAAAAATACAATGGCACCTGTATTCACAAGCACAAAGTTTATTCACAATAAATAATTGCTTCACAACTACATAAATCAACAATGTCAAGCTTTAAACAACGGAAGTTATTAGTAGTTGTATTAAAACACGGTATTTGATAACTAATATTCTACTAAAATTTTCGTTTTGTATTGAAAAAGTAACTTTAAAGCAAATAAATATAAATATATTTATATAACATACATTTCACGTGTACAGCTACTGTTATCTCGCTGAGAAAAAATACAGCGTTTGTAACCTCGACGGTACATTGTTACACCTTTTATTGAGTTATCATTACAAATAAATTTAGAATTAAATCTTAAGTCATACAGTTTAAATTTTGAATATTAAAATATCCTATTTGTTAACAAATACATATAAATTTCATTCAGGTTTTTATATAATTCTATATGTCAGCTTCATCTCAATAACTATAAAAATCCCCTCTTTAGTCCACCGAAGGTCGATGGAGGTCATGTTTTCATCCCTGTGTGTGTGTGTGTGTGTGTTTGTCAGCAAGATTTCTCGAAAATGGCTAAATGGATTTGGACGAAAGTTGGTGTACATTTGAACTATGACCCAACTTAGAAGGGATTAGTTTTGGAAAGTCAAGGCTACAGCTAGTCACGAAAATAAGAAAAATCTCTCTCTCTTAACATAAGAACCAATTTTTCACACTATTTTTGCTCTATAACTCAATGAAAAATGGTCGGATTTTAATGAAACTTGGTGGACATATGTAGAACATTATTCCTCATTGTCCTGCCAAAAATATTCAATGACCGTTGATAACGACGGACACACAGACACTTTTCGTATTTTTTGAGGGCGAAATATGATCAATGCTGCATGGTGGAGATATGCGCTCTATTGAGTGCCCCTCCAGGTGTTTTTATGTGTTAAATATATTTCAAAGTGTTATTGTGTTTTGTGCTCTGTTCTGCTAATAGGTATTTGAATTTTTATAATTTTCTTACGTTGCTCTTCTATCATTTACTATGTTTATTTAAGTGTGGTATAAAAGCATATACAATGTATTTCCTACCCCCTTAGTTAATATAGAAAAGCATCAAAAATTAATTACAAATTGTATGTGTACTTTAAATACAGAATGCCGTCAATGGAGCCATTAAGTTTCTCTCACCCTATTACTCGCGGAACTAGATCATTCAACTAGAGCATCACATGTACTTTATTGGGAAAAGGTTGTTGTAATGTAGAACATACTGTATAGATATAGTTAGTCATCATTACTTCTAGGAACTCAATGATGCCCCAAAACATAACATCCTTTATGTTGCATATGTTGTAGTGAGAGTGTTCATCAGTCGCCTAAGAAAAATGGCATTTTTTCTCAGGAAAGATCAAATTTTTAACCCAATTTTGGCTGTTTCTTTTAGGGCAATGGCCTATCTTCGTTGTCAGCATTGCGAGGATCAGACATCAGATGTTAGCGTCATAAACCTTCAACCTTAACATGGAGTCACTAAGAGGCTCCGATATTTTTTATAATTTATAATAAATGATGAAGAATATTTGTGAAACCATACTTTATTTGCACTGAAAAAAGATTGCACAAAATGCAGTTTTAATCAAGTAATGCATAATTATTCCAATACCCATAATCCTGCATAAAAGGTTTGCATTTCAAAGAATGGAATACCTTTATAAAAATTAAGACGACCTAATATAAAAACTTGATAGAAGGCAAATAATTCTTATAGAACAGAAGTAGATTTAAAAATGGTTGTTGAATCTTGTTTCAGTACAGTTTCTTTAGCTAGTGCCGTTGCGTTATTTTCTACTTTAACAGTGCGCATGACCTAAACAACCAGGTCAGAGAACTCTGAGGTTCAGATATAACTGTCCTTAGTTTTGAACTTAGCACTGGCCAGAGGGGAGGCATCTAGCCAGCAGCACTCGTATCTACAAGAGCTTTGTTCAGCTCTATATGAACCAAATAACGGGACTGTCTGCCAGTTTTATAATTCCCGTAGCTGAAAGTGCAGAACACGTTCAACCCGGCACACTAGCTATTAAACCGTGAGCAGTTCAATCTCAATATAACATTTGAGAAGGAAACGAGAATGCTGAGTAAATGAATCTTAAATTAAAAAGTATTTAAACTGGATGCCTCGTCTGGGTATATCAGTGGATGGATGTGATATGTAATATCATTTATTCCTTTCATATAAATGTTATAAAAGTCTAAACTTCAAATTGAGAAATGTCCATAGTTTGCTGTTTAGTTGTTATAAAGCAGTGGCTCATTGTTTTCCACCTGGAGTTACCATTTAATTAACAAATTTTACATGTAGATCGAGACTAGAGAATAATGTCATTGTTGGAACACCATAACCTTGTTGTCTAATAATATTACATTAACAAATGTGTATTGCAAAACCCTTATGTTAAAAGAAATTAAAACAAAACAGTGACATTATAAAATTGTACCATAGATAAGTATTCTTAATGAATAGGTAAAATAATAACAACACAATCTGGAATTCATTAAGTGGCTGTTCGGTATTTCTGTTGATTTGAAATTGGTAATTCTTTACTGGAAGGGCTTTACTTGTTAGGGTATCAATTATCTATTGATTTGAAATAGGTAATTCTTTACTGGAAGGGCTTTACATGTTAGGGTATCATTTATATTCAGTGTCTGTTCAAAGTAGCTTTTGTTTTGTATCGAGTTGCCAGCTCGCCCATGTACTCGTACTCTTATGATGGTAAACGTGTAATAAAAATAATATAAAAGTTACCTACAGATAATTTGATTTTTTTCTTTTAGATGTTTCGCTTGTAAGGCTTTTTCAAACAAGAATTATAACCTATATTAACTAGGTTAGTAAACAGTATTAGTAGTAATATGTTCGTAATGTAAATTAACAGAGTATCCTGAAGAATGGTAAATATTATAATAATTATAATATTTCACTTTTTCATACTATACACACTTCTTATTTTGAAATTGAAATAGCTATATGATGTTAAGTTTATTAACTGCTATAAAAGACGGAGTTTATGTGTAAGTTAACTAAATAAAAAAAACATCACAACATCAAAAAGTGCACAAGAATTTATTGAAAACACCAGGTTCAATGAACAACTACGTGTTTCTGTAGCGTTTAATCCCG